TTGTTTATGCATATGTTAACTGGGCATTCACCACGGGCCAGGCACTGGGGGCCCAAATGTATAAAAAACGTCCCCTGCCAGCAAGAAGCTCAGAGTCTAGTAAAATTTTGGTTTGAGTGTGTTTAGACACATGATACCGAGTATTTGAAGAGAGGTACTGGAGGTACTGGTTGCTCAGAGGAAGGAGTAGTCAACTTTCAAATGAAGGGAGGAAGGAAGACTTCAAAGGCACTGTAGAATGGGGTGGAATTAAGACCCAGAGCTCTCGGAAACAGCCTTCCATGTGGGAGGAACAATGAGCCAATGTTTGGGGGTGGGTATGAGTGTGAAAACTCAAGAAATGGTGAATACTGGGAATTGGTGTGTGGCTGGAAATATGGAAGATGAGACTGGAATAAGAGGTGTGACCAGATTATGGCAAGCCTTGAATGCCAGGCTAAGGAGTCAGGAGTGTCCTCATCTCTGACAGTAATGCCATGAAGCACATATTAGAGCACATGAAGTTGGCTGGGCGCAGTGACTCACGCCTGTAATCGCAGCACTCTGGGAGGCCAAGGTGGGTGGATCACCTGAGGTCGGGAGTTTGAGACCAACCTGACTAACATGGAGAAACCCTGTCTCTACTAAAAATACAAAATTAGCCAGGCATGGTGGCACATGCCTGTAATCCAAGCTACTCAGTAGGCTGAGGCAGGAGAATCGCTTGAACCTGGAAGGCAGAGGTTGCAGTGAGTTGAGATCATGCCATTGCACTCCAGCCTGGGTAACGAGCGAAACTCCGTCTCAAAAAACAAAAAACATTAGCCACCAAGTGGGTCAATTCATTAAAGCTTCTGCCCTCATTGTCCAAATGCTGCTACCAGGCCAGACTGCATCACAGACAGATGCTCCACCCTGCTTCCTGGTCCATCTAGGGTAAAGCAAGTCTTACCTGTTAGTCATCATCATCGTCATCCTCTGGAACAAAAATGTCATGTTCCTCAAGTAGAGCAGCAAAGTTCTTGCTAATGAGTGTCCCGACATAGAGAAAGGGGATCACAATGGAGAACACACGGAGAAGGCCAAAGGACATCTGCAGAGGGTCAGAGTGGCAGCTGTGAGCTCCAGAGCCCACTCTGGCAGGACCAAAGAAGACCTGGCCCTCTCACGGACATACCCTCCTGTGGACCTCAGACCCATCATAAGCAACTTGATTTTAAAATCCTTGGAAAAATTCAGGGCAAGAAAAGTAATTAGAAAAGGAGAGGGCCAGGCAGGGTGGCTCACACCTGTAATCCCAGCACTTTGGGAAGCCAAGGTGGGTGGATCACCTGAGGTCAGGAGCTTGAGACCAGCCTAGCCAACATGGTGAAACCCCGTCTCTACTAAAAATACAAAAAATTGGCCCAGCGGCCGGGCGCGGTAGCTCAAGCCTGTAATCCCAGCACTTTGGGAGGCCGAGACGGGCGGATCACGAGATCAGGAGATCGAGACCATCCTGGCTAACACGGTGAAACCCCGTCTCTACTAAAAAATACAAAAAACTAGCTGGGCGAGGTGGCGGGCGCCTGTAGTCCCAGCTACTTGGGAGGCTGAGGCAGGAGAATGGCGTAAACCCAGGAGGCGGAGCTTGCAGTGAGCTGAGATCCAGCCACTGCACTCCAGCCTGGGCGACAGAGCGAGACTCCGTCTCAAAAAAAAAAAAAAAAAAAAAAAAAAAAAATTTGGCCCAGCATGGTGGCGCACGCCTGTAATCCCAGCTACTTGGGAGACTGAGGCAGGAGAATTGATTGAACCCAGGAGACAGGGGTTGCAGTGAACCAAGATTGCACCATTGCACTCCAGCCTCGGCAACAGAGTGAGGCTCTGTCTTAAAAAAAGAAAAAAGGCCAGGCGCAGTGGCTCATATCTGTAACCCCAGCACTTTGGGAGGCCGAGGCAAGCAGATCACGAGGTCAGGAGTTTGAAACCAGCCTGGCCAACATGGTGAAACCCCATCTCTACTAAAAATACAAAAAATTAGCCGGGTGTGGTGGTACACGCCTGTAGTCCCAGCTACTCAGAAGACTGAGGCAGAAGAATCACTTGAACCCAGGAGGCGGAGGTTGCAGTGAGCCGAGACTGTGCCATTGTACTCCAGCCTGGGTGACAGAGTGAGACTCCATCTCAAAACAAAAAAGAAAAAGGGATAAGGTGACTGTTATGGCCATCAAAGTGGATGAAAAGTACACTGGAAAGAAAAGTCTCAGGCACCCTAGACATCTAAAGTTAGGACACAGCCTGCTAATTACTTTAAATCCCTACAGGCAGACGGGTGCACCAGTACTAGGAGGGCCAGACTACGGTGAGCTCTATCTGAACACGAAATACACGAAAACCGATGACAGAAAGATGTACACTGAAGGGATATTCTATACAGTTCATTAAGTAACACGTTCCCTGATGCCTGAGAAATTTGATTTAAAAATTTTAGAAACAGATGTATTTGAAAGTAGGCATGTATTTACACTCAAAGACTATTTAAATGGATTGGGAGAATGTCAGTAAAATCTCAGCAACGTTTCTCTCGTATTCCTAGAATTTAAAAAAAAGTTTTTTGCAACTGTTTTGATAAGGCAGGTCTTTCCCAACATGGACCTGCAGTCAACTATGTGAGTTAGCATAGGCCAGACTAGCTTTAAGAGAATGTTTTTTTTAACTCCCACACCACACAGCCCTGCAGTGCTAAAGCAAACTTTTGTTGGATATAAGGGACTGTTTCCGTTTTCCCTAGAAAAACTCAAGCATGTGACAGCGTTCAGTGTTGGAAAAAGATAGAACCTGATGGGGACGGTACCAGGAAGAAACCCGGATGCTGCGGCCTCAGCGATGGCCTTGGATACTAACTTCACCGCTCTAGCCCGATTGTTCATTTGAAAAACCGTGATTTTAATAATTCCCTGCACATCTATCAGGACTGTAAATCACATGAATACTAGGTGACAACTCATAAAAAGATGAGGCCCATCCCACGTACCCTTTATTTACAGAATCCTTTCACAATTCATATTTCATCCCATAAACTAGGAGACAGGCAGGGCAGAGATTACAGGACTGGTCTAAGCTAGAAGCACACGGCCTAGTCTTCTGACTCCAGAGGTGCAGAGCACCCCACCTCTCATGACAAACTAATGTGAAAGGCCATCTTCCTCAGCGTTTTCCCCCCATCTTCTGTCTACCTACCATTTTCTACACACCTGTCAAAATTAGCAACTCATTAGCGTATTTATTCTTGGTCCGCCTTCCAGTCTAAGGTAGTCGTTATGATTGGCCTTCGCTCCCGTCAATCAGCGCCGCCCTCACGCACTCCCCACAATGATTGGCCTCAGCCCCTTCACCCCGTCTCCAGGCAGACACTCACTTTCACCGGTTTGGGTAAAATGGCGCCGCTGCGGGTAACGATGACTGACCTCGACGGTACCAGGCTCTGGCCTAAGCCACTCCGTGCTGCGGCGACATCGCCATCTTTCCTCAAGCTAGGACCGCTTCGGAGAGCCCCGGACCTGACTGGTACCAGTGCTAGCCAGCGAGCCGCTCCGGACGCCATGCCCCCAGCTCCGCCCCTCACCAGGGCACCCGGACCCCACCGCCCGGCCCCGGTGCCGCCCTCGGGAAGAACGCCGCCCGAAGCCTCGCGAGACTTTGAGGAGCACACGAGAAGCCCAGCCCTCGCATTCGCGCAGTGCTGGCGGCTCCTGGGGCGGTGGGAGGTGTTTGTCACTGGCCGGCGTAGTGACGTCACGAGAGCAGCGGCGCCGCCCCGGCTCCCTACGTCCGCGTCTTCCGGGGCGGGGCCGCGGTCCTGGGTCCCGCACCTAGGACTGCACGGTGGCCGGAGCAGGACTTAGTGGCCGGCTGTAGAAATAAACCCAGGGAGACGAATGAGTAATAATGAAAAAGCTTTACTAGTGTTTTAACCGCGTACAAAACACTGTAGTAATAAGAGAAGGGCCCGTCAACAAAATGCAGTGGCTGCGGAGCTTCCAGGCAGGGCTGGGGAACAGGCCGGGCGCCCGCCCTGGGCGCATCTCCGCCTCCTGGGGGTAAGAGGCTCCGAGCGTCCCCCTTAGGCCTAGTTGGGTGCGGGTCAGCCCTGCCCAAGGCCCCAGTGAGGGGAGCCGAGGCCAGGAAGAGGCAAGTTTTGTGTGTTTGGGAGGGGGTGTCTCCTCCCGGCCTCTGCGTCTTCCCCCTGGGGCGTCAGTCTGGTTAGGCTCTGGTGACCCAGCCGCTTTGCCTCCCAGAACAATAGAAAAATCACGCTCGATGTTGGGAAGAGTAGCAAGGAAAGGTCCTGGCAAGTACACCCTGGGTGACAAACAGGGCTATGAGAGTTTCCAGGTGGTTTCTCGAGCAGCTTCAGTTTACCGGAGCCCAGCCAGGAGGGAGAATTTTAGCACAGGAAACGGAATCCCGTGTCCAAACTTCTAGAATACCCAGGACTGAGAACCAAAGCAACAAACATTACCCAGGGAGCCACGCTGCCTACCCACCTCTTCTTTAACCCCTCACTTGGCAGCTCCAGGAGTTGGCTGCTGAAGACAGAGTACAGGAGGGCATTTCGTTGACATAAAAAAGCTACAAGCCCCTTCTGGGGCAAGGTCCAGCACCATCTGTTAACAGGGGAGCCGGGGAGAAAGGATGGGACCCCAACACTCTGAGCAGAGTAAATCTTCACTGGCCGAAGACCCTCTGCCTCAAAGGGCCCTACCCAAACTGCTGAGTGAGGATCCCCAATCTTCCCACCCCTCTCAGGAAGAGCTGGGTCCCAGAAACTCCTGTGACACAATAAATCCACTTTCTCTGACAGTGTCAGAGCCTCAAGCCAATACTGCAGCCTACCTCGGATTTAAATGCACACGAGACTCCCCAGGTTGGAAATTATGGCTCCAGAGCCTGGTGTATAGGTCAAAGGTAGGGCAAGTCTGTGACACTCTCAGGTGACATTTCCCACTTCCTTCATTTCATTAACATCCCCTGGGAGGGGCCAGTCAGGCCAGTGCAGTCAGGAGATAGGGGTCTTGCTCTGTGGTGTCTAAGTCTCCTTTCCTCTGTGGACCTCAGGAAATAAAGAGGATGGAAGGAATGGTCCCTCAGTCCCTTCCAGACACACGGGTGGATCTGGAATCTGGAGAATGCCTAAATAGCAGGAAGGAGAGAACCCATGTCCCCTCCCAAAACACAACGTTGGAAATGGGTAAACATTTAACTCCTAAAAAAGAACTGGCCCTGGTTTCCTGACTCAAAGGGTCCAGACTTAGGGCTTATCCTGTTCCTCACATTTTGGCTGGCTCCTCTGGGCCCTCTGCTGCCAACACTGCCGCAGCTCCATGATCTCCTGGCCATACCAGTCATGCAGGGTAGAGAAGCAGGAGGTCTCAGGGGACACAGGGCTCTGCCCCCTGCCTAGGAGGAGGCTGGCAGGGCCCTGCAGCTCCCACTCAGCCAACCCCCGCCCTGAAGACCTGCTGCCCCCTTCTTCAACCAAGCCCACGGGGCTGCTGTCCTTGGAGAGGGAGTGGCCATTCTCCAGGCCCACAGATCGGTGGTTAGGAGCCTGGGGCTTACAGCGGCTGGCAACAGACTTCCAGGATGAGCGGCGTTGCAAAGCCAGGCTCTGGCGTGCGTCCTGCAACTGGCTCTCCAACTCACGTACCACCAGGCGCATGTAGCCAAAGCTTGCCCGAGACAGCGCCTTCACCCAGGCCTCCTGGGCCGCCGGCCCTTCTGCGGCCAGCAGGTGTGGGCGCACTCCAGGAGCATCAAAGCAGATGGCAAAGGCAAACTCCTCAGGCACGGGAGCCTCAGCCAGCTCCACTGTGCAGCCTTCCAGCACCACCAGGCTCAGCGGGGCCCGGCCCTCGCGACTCTCAAAGGAGAACAGCAGGTTGCCCTTGAGGACAAACCAGCATCTTCGGCCAGTGCCACTAGGGGTTGATGGGGTTCCTGGGCCCCCCCAGGTGCGCAGGAAGCCCGTGTGGTCTGCTGGGGAGTCGCTGAGTGCATAGTGGGCTACACTCCTCTCGTTCAGCTTCATGGCTCCCACAGGAACTGTGAGGCGAGAGAGATGGCAGCGGATCAGAGAGGGAGGTGGTTCTGTGCCCCACTGGGGAAGAGCACTGGCTCCGGAGGTGACCTGGACCCCAGCCCTGGGGCTCCTACTCGCTTGCTGTGTCCGTAAGGCCCCTAAAGTCTCCTGAGAAGTGGGCTCGTCTTTCCTTCCTTTTCTCTCAAAGGGATGTTGTGAGGATCATGCAAAAAAAAAAAAAAAAAACTGGACGTTGGCGGACTTGGAGAAAAGAATAACAAGACTGCATCAGACAGGAGGCATGGCAGGACCTGGGCAGGGCTTTCTAAAATCCAAACAAACAGGCGTCAGCTGAGCTGAAATGGACCCCAGACCCATCGAAACCACTGTGCTTAAACTATTCCCTGATCTGGGGTCCTCTCAACTCCAACTCTGAGGCCAAGCTTCCAGGGTTTCCATGACCCTCCTGGGCCTCTACTGGCCTCTTATTTGCATATAGCAGTTGAATCTTAGTGACCTAAAGGCAGAAGCTGAGGCACAAAATATAACTTTAAAGAATTTGGCCGGGCGCGGTGGCTCAAGCCTGTAATCCCAGCACTTTGGGAGGCCGAGACGGGCGGATCACGAGGTCAGGAGATCGAGACCATCCTGGCTAACACGGTGAAACCCCGTCTCTATTAAGAAATACAAAAAACTAGCCGGGCGAGGCGGCGAGCGCCTGTAGTCCCAGCTACTCGGGAGGCTGAGGCTGAAGAATGGCGTGAACCCGGGAGGCGGAGCTTGCAGTGAGCTGAGATCCGGCCACTGCACTCCAGCCTGGGTGACAGAGCGAGACTCCGTCTCAAAAAAAAAAAAAAAAAAAAAAGAATTTACTTGAGTGAGAATAAGGACAAAACAAACTTCTAAGTTGTCATGGGGTGTGATGCATTGGGCCTTTCCTACAAGCAGGTTTTTATAGGCAGAAGGGGGCAAGGATGACAAAGTTGTTTGGCATGAATTCTCCTTGGTTTATAGAAATAACATTGATTGGCGGGGTGCGGTGGCTCACATCTGTAATCCCAGCACTTTGGGAGGCCAAGGTGGGGGTGGATCACCTGAGCTCAGGAGTTCAAGACCAGCCTGGCCAACATGGTGAAACCCCATCTCTAAATACAAAAATTAGCTGGGCACGGTGGCGGGTGCCTGTAATCCCACCTGCTCGGGAGGCTGAGGCAGGAGAATTGCTTGATCACAGGAGGCAGAGGTTGCAGTGAGCTGAGATTGTGCCATTGCATTCCAGCCTGGGTGACAAGAGAGAAACTCCATCTCAAAAAAAAAAAAAAGAAATAATATTGATTAGTGATTGGCTATACATTGTTGAACTATAGGGTAAGAACTGGAGGGTGTCCAGTGTACAACATTTTATGGCTACTTGGTGTCGCTCTAGAGCCACATAGCAAGTGGCTTCAAGAGGTAATTCTTGATCCTTTTGTAGTTCATGAGTGTGATGATTGGGTGTTCACGTGCATGTGTGAGCCATGCCACCCTCGAACCTTGTTACCATGTGGGCACATTACTGACCTGACATGAAGAAAATAAAAAAGAAAAAGAGATAATTCTTCAGCTCAAGGGAGGAGTAAGACTTGACAGCTGTTGCATTTCAATATGTCTGGGCCTGATTATTTAAAGGGGCTCCAGTTCCTCAGATAAAACATTATTTTTCTCTCTCAATCTGCAGCCTTCAGGGCCAGATGGGGACCTGCTCTGTAAACAAGAGTGTAGCATAAACCCAGGTACAGCTGAGAAGATCTAACCGCAACCATTGAATGTGGGTGCCCCCAGGATCATGAACGACACTTAGTCCAACTGTCCTTACTCATGGAAAACCAAGGCCCAGCGCAGGGAGGGGAACTTGCCCAAGGTTACATGACCGATGAAACGCAGAGCTTCGTCTCCCAAATCTCTCACACTGTACCACTTACCGGCAGGGCTCACTGGGGGAGGGCAGGGACCTCTTGTCTGGCCACACAGCTCAGCCCTTGGACCACCTGGTTCCCAGGGAGCCTGCAAAACAATTCTCAAGCCCAGTCAGCTTATCCCAAAGAATGAGAACTCCTACTCCACCTTCGAGGCCTAATGAAACCACAGCCTCCACCAGGAAGCCTTCCGTGACCCCTGAGAATCCCCCCACCCATCTACCCAGCCAGGAACCCCTGAGCAGCTTAAGGGGCTGGGTCCCCTTTTCTTGACCTTTACTCTTCAGACCCCAGCTTTCTGCCTGAGTCCAGGTCAGAGCTACACGTGCCCTCATGGTTCCTAGCTTTTCCCTTCTAGCACCTCCCACTCAGTTTCTTTGTGGCTTTAACTGAAGTCACCTAATCTGGGAGGCCCTGCATGATCACCATATCATCTAAGGTGGCCCTGACCACCAAGGTGGCCTGACCTGAGGTCATCTGACCAGTAGACCCCCCATTTCTGGTTTCCTTCATCTCACGACCATGTCATTTGTGTTTACAGCACTGTTCCCAGCCCCAGAATGTCTAGGGTGGGGCTCGGCTAAGTTCTCAGGAGAACCCCAATATCCAGCACTGTGCAGGGCTCAGAGAGGCCCTCAGGAGGGATCTGTTGAATTAATGGGAATACATCAGTGCACAAATCAAAGTCTCCCGCCCTCCTGGAGCCTACAGTCCCACAGGGAGAAACACACTATAGGCAAACAAAATAAATGCTAATAAATTAATGAAAGAATAATTAGTGAAATAAGAGATACCAAAAGGACCGGTAATACTAAGGGTTATGGAGAAAAACAAGTCAGGCCCCTGGATGGGGAGAGAGGCCATTCCAGTAGGGGTGGCCCAGGAAGCGGGAGGAGGAGATCACAGATATTTGCCAGAGGAGTGGCCTCACTGGGGGTCCTGGGCCCAGCACTGGGGCACACGGAGGGGGTGGGCAGCCCATGAGGCCATGCCCCCTCCCCTCTCCCGCGTCCGGGGAAGGGCGCTTCCTCCTCTCCACCAGCAGGGGGGCCAGGCCGCCCGCACACCCGGCCTCCCGCCTGCCCCGTCGTCTTCCTGGATTCTTTTGTTGGAGGAGAGGCGAGCTGGGGTGCGGGACCGCAGTGCCAGTGGCCACTGCGGGGAGCACCAACCCGGCTGTCGCCCTAAACAGGGGTCATCTCGGTCAGGGTCTCCCTGGCTACCGCCTCGGTTTCCCCGTCCTCGTGTCGGGGCTGTTACCCACCACGTCCCCGCGGCCACGCCTTCCCTGGGGCCACTTCCTCCCGGAGCCCGCCGGGTCCACTCTCACCTCCCGCCGCCGATCGCACCGATGCCCAAGAGGGCGATCTTGGCTCGAGACCCCTCGCCTCCGCCTGGGCTGCAACGTGGCCGCGGGAGCTGGGAGACCCCGCCCGGAAGGCTGGAGTTACCGCCCCTCCCCGCCCAGTATTCAACCGGCCCGGGATCTCCGAGGCGGCCTCGGGATCAGCGAGGGCGGGAAACTGAGGCCCGAGAGGGCGTTGAACTGCCCGAGCCACAGAACTGGTCGGTGCGGGCGGCCTCGAACCCAGAGGTCCCCCTCAGATGGTCCGCGGGCCTCGGTCCCGGCCCACCGTCCGGAAAACTCAGTCCATCTCTTCCTCTCTGGTCCCCCTCTCCCTGCTAGGCCTACTTCCCCGGCAGAGCCAAACCAGGGACGTCTCGCTCTGGGCACCTCCTAAGGGCGGGCTCCTACACAGCCCGCGAGGGCTGGTCAAGCTTTTTGGGCCGGTCAAGCTTTTTTGGCCACCCACCGGCCCACCGGGGTCGGCTGATTTCTGCCTCTGGAAATTACCCATTTCTGCTTCCCTGGCCTGAAGCCCACCAGCAGCCCCCAGGCTCTGCCCTAGTGGGTCCAGGAGGCGGCCTGCGGTGAAGGTCTCGGGAATGCACAACCAAACCCAAGAGACTAGAGCTTCTGGAAGGCCCTGGAAGCCGGAGGTGTCCTCAAACATCTGCCCATGAACTTGGCTCCCACCTCAGAGCCTTTGCCCTTACAGTTCCTGCAGCCTAGAATGGCCTTCCTTCCCACCCCCAGCCGCAGCTCCACTCCTCAGGATGCCTCTGGACGCAGATTTGAGTCTCTGCTCAGAGGTCCCCTCTGGGACCATTGTAAAGCAACCTGCCCTGCAGTCTGTGTCCCATCCCTGGGGTGTTATTTCCATCAGAGCACTCACTGCTAGAGTAAACTCTCCTATGCTCATGCTTTTATTTTCTTGTTTATTGCCTGTCTCCCCTACTAAATTTTGTTCAGTTAATACTATATAATAATAATAAATGTGTTAGAATAAGTGGCACGGAAAAAACAGAGGAGGATAAGGGAGACGGGAAATTGTGGGAGTAGGGAGGTTGCAATTGCAAATAGAGTGGTCAGGGTAGGCCTTACTGAGAAAGTAACATTGGACAAATACTTGAAGGAAATGAGGGAGCCAGTCATGCCAATTCCAGGCAGATGGAACAGTCAGCGCAGTGGCCTCAGGCCTGCTGTGTAAGAAGGCCAGTGAGGCTGGGAGGCCTGGGGAGGGGGTGGCAAACAGTAGGAGGTGGGGGTGGAAGGGGTGGGATGGGGCTCTGTAAATCTGGGAGGGCTGTTAGTCTAGACAGGGCTGTGAGGAGGGACCTGAGAGATTTCAAGGCGTACTCTCGCTGCTGTGGCGAGAATCAATGTCAGTGGAAGCTGGAGACCAGTGAGGAGCCTGCTGCCACTATCCAGGCGAGATGTCACAAGGGCGGTGAGAGCAGGGAGGGAGAGGCAGCCAGATTTAGAATGGCTTTTGAAGGTAGAGAACACAGGATTTGCTGAGGAGTTGGATGTAGGGAGTGAGGGAAAGAGCAGGAAGGACTGCACAGTTTTGGCTTGAGCACCTAGGAGAGTTGTCATTATCTGAGATGTGGAAAGTGGCCGGTGCTTGGTCTGGGTTATGTTTGAGATGCCCAGTGGTCATCTGAGTGAAGGTGCTGTTAGGGGTCAGAAAGCGATGCCTAAAAAGATGACACTTGGGCATGCTGAGTACTTTGAACCAAAGGACACTGGAAGAGCCTCAGAAGCCAAGTCTCTCTCTGACCTTCTCCTGCCCCCCTTCTTTCTCCCATTTTTCTCCTGCAAGGCAGGCCATAGAAACTGAAATTCCTCCTCCTTAAGGTGAGTTACAGAAACTACAAATATTGGCTGGGCGCAGTGGCTTATGCCTGTCATCCTAGCACTTTGGGAGGCCAAGGCGGGCGGATCACAAGGTCAAGAGATCGAGACCATCCTGGCCAACATGGTGAAACCCCGTCACTCCTAAAAATACAAAAATTACCTGGGCATGGTGGCGTGCGCCTGTAGTCCCAACTACTCGGGAGGCTGAGGCAGGAGAATCACTTCAGCCTGGGAGGTGGAGGTTGCAGTGAGCAGAGATCACGCCACTGCCCTCCAGCCTGGTGACAGAGGGAGACTCTGTCTCAAAAAAAAAAAAAAAAAGAAAAAGAAAAAGAAAAAAAAGAAACTACGAATATTACTGGAAACATCCCCCACCTTTCTGTGTCAGGCCTGGCCATAAAGGAATTCTCTGACCTACCTTGTCTGATACTAGGCCATAAGACTCTCATTCCAGAAGGGGTCCTGCCCTCTTCCCAGCAGGAGGGAATGCCACACAGAGAGAACAAGAAGAATCTGAACAGACAGACATTACTGGGTTTCCACACTCAGCTATTAACATCAAATCATTCCCTTTTGTCTAATTGCATTTATACAATTGTCCATTCCTTATTCCTTTTTTCTGTTGCCCAGGTTGGAATACAGTGACATAATCACAGCTCACTACAACCTCAACCTCCTGGACTCAAGCAATCCTCCTACCTCAGCCTCTCAAGTAGCTGGAACCACAGGCACCTGCCCGGTTTTTTTATTTTTTTGTAGAGACGGGGTCTCACTATGTTGGACACAGGCTGTCCTTAAATGTCTGGCCTCAAGCAATCCTCCTGCCTCAGCCTTCCAAACTGCTGGGATTGCAGGCATGAGCCAGCAGACCTGGCCAGGGGTGTCCATTCTTCATCAGAGACATAAAAATAAAGTTTTCCCTGAGTATTTGTGTCTTCATTCCTGAAGGCTCCCAAGTCACATAAAACATTGTGTAAATCAATCTGTTATGCTTTTTTCTTGCTAACCTATATTTTGTTTATAGGAGTGTCCGCTGTGACCTTTGGGATGAGTAAGGAAAAATATCTTTCTGCCCCTACAATGCCCAGAACAAAGCATTTGCCAGCTAGCAGTTTCTCAATAAATACTTGATGAATGAATGAAGAAGGAAGTAGCCGAGCCTGTGCGAGCAGTCCCTGAGCGTCAGGCGGGGAAGGGGAGCCGGCTGCCTTTGCTGGAGCTGCGACCGCCTGCTTTGCTGCCTCCCACGCATCCTCCTCGTAGAGACGATTAATCCCAGACTTCCATTTTCCTAGCGGCTCACTAGGGGGGACCTTGCTTCAGAGCAGTCTCTCATTTCCTCTAATCAAAGCCCTCAGCAGGTATTCACTGCACGGCCGCTTACTGAGCGCCCACGGTGAGGCTGGCACGATCCTCGCCCTCGTGGTCCCCACAGAGGTGGAAGCCTCGCGGTGTCCGGGCCACGAAGGACAGCCCCAAGCCGGCTCTGCCAATGCTAGCCTCGCTAGCACGCAGGGCGGGACCCCAGTGGGGAAGGGCTTGGGGAGGCTGGGAAGCTGGGCCCCTATGGGCGGGGCACAGCGTTGCTAGGGGGGATTCTGATAGGTTGCGCGGAGGGTTGCCTTCGTGAGGCCCCGCCCTCACTGGAACGCTTCAGGCTTATCAGGTTACCGGAATCGAGTCCGAAGGGGCCGCGGGTCTGAGCGCTTCGGTAAGATAAGTGCGGCGGGAGGGGGCTCTGCGGTTTTGGGGGGCCCAGGGCGGGAACCCGGACCCGGCTGGGAGTCCGGAGCCTGGCCGCAGCCCTGCCCCTCCGCTCTTTCTGGGCGACCTTAAGGCGGTCGCTGCCTTTTTCTGAGCCCTGACCGGGCCGAAGGCGGCCCGTAGGCGCTCAGGACTCCCAGCACTGCAGAGGGTGTAAGGTCTGACATCCAACACACATTGTTCAGTATTTCTGAAGGAAGAACTCAAGCTCCGGGAAGTGAGGCTGGGGACTGGGCGGGCAACTTGGGGACCGAGTGTAGGATCCACGTCCAAGGTTGAGGGCGGCCGAACTAGCCAGGCAGCCGTGACCCCAGTGCTTTTCTGACGTTTCTTAGCTTCCAGAGCCCAATACATACAGCTGATACACGCAGACCAGATCTGGTCAGGTTCTCGGAAGCTGAGTCCAGAGCAATGCTGTTGAAGACAGGTACCTACACCGGCTGGGGTGGCTTGGGAGGTAGGGGTGAGTGCTAGAGTGCTACAAGGAGGGCTTTGACTGGTGCTTCTTCCCTAATGTGGGTATGTGGGGAGACAGGTTCCCTCTCTCTTTTACTTAGAGCTGGGCAGGAAGGGAGGAGATGCTTCCCCATACAGGAATCATTTCTCCTTTAAAGGGGCCCTTCCTTTCTCACTTCCTCCCCCTCAAGTACAGAGGCCCTATCTGATGTGATATCAACATGTACGGAGAACCGCCTGTACAGTCCCTACAGTAACTCCATATTACAGATAAGGAAACTGAGGCCCGAGGAGGAAAGGGCTCACTTAGGTGAGCTGATTGGGTGCCCGTCCTGGCTGGCTTACTTCTTAAGCCTCTCTGAAGCCTCTTGAGGGTCTGTGGTAGAGAGCAAAGAGCCCTAGACCGGGGCTCAGGAGTCCTGGAGTCTGGCTAATGGCCCCGACTTAAGGATTTTTCAACTTTACTGTGGAGTGAAAGCGACACACATTCAGTAGAAACCACAGTACCTATACAACCATTGTGTTTCAGTATTCAGTAAATTGCATGAAATATTCAACAATTTATTATAAAATAGGCTTTGTGTTAGATGATTTTGCCCAGCTGTAGGCTAATGTGCGTTGTCGCACCTTTTTTTTTTTTTTTTTTTGAGATGGAGTCTCACTCTGTCACTCAGGCTGGAGTGGAGTGGCGTGGCGCAATCTCGGCTCACTGCAACCTCCACCTCCCAGGTTCAAGCAAGTCTCCTGCTCAGCCTCCTGAGTAGCTGGGACTACAGACACTCGCCACCTCAACCCGGTATTTTTTTTGTAGTTTTAGTAGAGATGGGGTTTCACCATGTTGCCCAAGCTGGTCTTGAACTCCTGATTTAACGGTGATCCGCCCACCTTGGCCTCCCAAAGTGCTGGAATTACAGGCGTGAGCCACCGTGCCTGGCCTGTCGGCATTTTTAAGGTAGGCTAG